AGTTGGAATAGTTGGCTGGAATTAGGCCTGTCGACTTTGCTCCCACATTCCTTGTTGTGTGTTTCCTGGACTGCAGCATGCCGCGTGGCGTTCTGCTGTGGGCCCCTGCACTCCGCGTCGACCACCTGCCGCTCAGCCTCACTGAGAGGGCTCGATCAGATGCTGTGGGAAACGAACGCCGTGGATCCCATTTTCGCCCCCCTTGCGCGTGAGTGTCTCGCCCGACTAGGTTCGACGTTTGCTACCTCCTCGCCCTATATCGCGCGCTGAAGTGTGCGGCTCAAAGGGGGGAGGGGAATGGGAGGGTCTGAGCGCGGCACCCGCTCAGAAGCTGCCTTTGGAACTCCACCCCTGACGTGTCCCAAGCTGTGCCTGTGGCGCAGAGGAGGGAATATGAACGAGCAGTGACAATCCTGGAGGACGTGGTGCAGCAGAGGGAGTCCTGTTTTGGAGGTGAACTCCCTCATAAATATGCATTTCCATTCATCAAGAATGCTGGGGGCCTGGCGAAATGCTGGCCGAGGCGTTACTTCGACTTGAATGCCAGCAACACCCGCCATGAACGGCACGAAAATGGCCTCAATTCCGTAAAGTGATGCCAAGGACAATGACAAGTATTCCAGGCTAGGCACATGATAGTGATTCCCAACTGATTCCCAACTTCCCAACCTAACTATGTTCTTTGCCTCAAGGTTTCTGCCAGGCAAAATCTGCGTGGAGAGACCCTGGGGTGCACTGGAGATGCTGCGTCTGTAGGCCATTTCGAATCTCTTGCTTTTAATGCGAGGAACACAGAATGTGTGGTGCAGGAATTGTACACATTATCACACAGTTTTTGTCAAGGTTGGGCCTCTTCCTCCTGCTCCTGCAGTCCTTGTTGACTGGTGGCTTTGCAATGGAAATTATTTCCCACTACAGATACCCATGTTTTCTGCCTGTTGTGGAATCGCATCAACTGTCAGCTTCTTGTTCTGGTCTGCCCAACTGGCCATCTTGAAGTTTGCGCCATCGTTGTTGTCACCACTTTTTCTGAAACTCACAGGCACAGCCTTGGAGTGTGGCACTGCCTTCTACTACTATGGTCTGGCACTGCTGAACCACGCTAGTGAGACACGCGCTCAGGGTGCACTGTTTGAGGCAACGGAAGCGGTGAAAGCAGCTAGTTCAGGAGCAATCAAACAAAGCCTCCTGAGATCCGGTGCAAACACCAATGAATAAATCCTATAAAAGGGGGCTCTAACATCAAAACTTTTATCAGAAAAAAAACAATCTCGATCTTCAATCTCCTGGGAGAGATACTTTCAGTGGCAAAGGTCATATTTGCCAAGGAAGAAGCCCGACAACCTTCAATCCTGTCAGGTATGGGAGCCAATGGGTGCGGGGGCCAGTCAGACTGCCTCACTGTGCTTCCCCAGAATTTGTCTCTGGCAGGCTGCCAGAAGAGGACAGCTGCATCCAATGTGGGGAGAACGTGGAATGTTGGCAGTCTGGGCCATCTGCATTGTCTATTGGTGGTGGGTTAATTAGAGACTGTTGCCTGCATGGCATACTCTTGCTGAAAGCCACAAGCGAGTCAGTGGGCACAATGGTATGGAGCTTATGTTCAGGATATACGCAATAGTAGTATAACTGATTGATCCACAGGTTTCATCAGCAGAAGCGTGCATTACCATCTGGATGAAATAGTGGTAATGCGGAGGATGGCCGTCAAGTGCAACTCTCATCTGTTGGATGATGCACATGCTGTGCCAACCAACTTCTTACAAAGCTATGCCGACCACTTGGAAAGATGGCTCCACCTCCTAGCCTCTTCCAACGCCTGGGTTTTTGGTAGCACCCCTTTAGAGTGGAGCAAGTGTGCTGCATCTTTGTGCCGCCAGCTCTCTATTGTCCAAACTGTGTTCACTGCCAGCGATTCTAGCATCCATGTCCGCCCAACGGGCTTCACTTCTTAGGCAGAGACTTGACAATTGTCCACCTGAAGGATGGTGCAGATGTCACTGAACACAGTCACTCGAATGTACAACAATGGCAACAGATGCTTTGTCATTGTGCTAACTGTTAAGGCTGGGTGGTTGAGTAATGACTCAAACTACCTTGGAGTGTTCACAGCAAGCATGGACACTACACTCAATGCTGGTCCAAAGGAGCCCGCATGCAGCCTCACAAGGCAGCTCAAGCACAACTTCCCTTGGTGACGTTACAAAACATGACCAATGTGCTTCCTCTCACAACCACCTGTCTGCCTATTTGAATCCCCATCGTTCACAGCACCCCTATAGCAGCTCGTTCATGTGCCAACTTAGCCTATAGCCACGTGCAAAACATGCCAAACAAGTCCTTTCACTCAGAAGGGTTTGGGGTAGTCTGCTACAAGAACACAGTTGTCCACCACCACCAAGAACAGAATGGTGAGGTAAACTTGCAAAGAGAACAGTCCAGTCATTCAACACCTATCCACCTCCCCTACAGTGAATTCCTGACCAATTAGATCGTTCATATAATAGCTTGACAGATCTACTCATACTTGCGAAATGCTGTTCAAAATGGAAGGGATCAAAGCACTCTAAAGTTGTGGTGGGAAAGTACATCCACAAAATCCCCACAAGAGTCTCTGTGGACAAGATTCCAAGACCAAGGCAGTTCTTGTTGAATTACACAGCGCTGTGCCACAGGAACTCAAGCTGTCCCAAACAAACCTGAGTGTGATCAAATAGCATTCCCATGAGCCCAATCAGTTCACTCAAAACCAGTGCTTCGTGAAGAAGTTTAAGACTCTTGTCAATACTCGTCGTAGGTGCGTTCTGTATGGGCCATTCTGTGTTAAATCAATTGCTTTTCTGAAATGCAACGCAATCGCTAGCCATGAGGCATCATTGATGCACCCAATGAAACGGTGGTCAATACGTGCCCATGTGAGCACTGACATATTCCACCTCGTCGCCTCTATCTTGGGGGTAATTTGAGCTTCCGTGGGTGGGTTGCATTTGCTACGCATATGCCGTGTGTTTGGTTCGTAAAGTGTGTGTTTATCGTATGCCCCTTTTTGCATTAATAGGACGTATGGCGCACTATGTATGTGTGTCGCATGCGCTTGTTTTGCATGGGAATTGTGCAAGTGCATGTATAGAATTGTATTCGATGCACTGGATGCACAACAGATAGCTGAAGGTCTCTTGCCTTTGCTCCAGATGTTCACCTTGCCCTTGGCGACGTCCAGATCGAGAATGGCATGTTTGCCGACGCTCTGAACGAATTCGAGAAGGCGCTGGAGTACAGGCGCCAGGTGGCAGGCGCCAGCCACAGGGCACTGAGCGAGGTTCTTTTCAAGATGTGCACCTGCTCCGAACTTGCCTGTGATTATGGCGAGGCGCTCTTGAGATGCAACCAGGCGTTGGACGAGCTGAGGGCAGAGCTCACCCTGCAGAGATCAGGTGCGCTGCAACTCGCAGCACATCGTTGGCATCAGGGCGAGAGAGGATCAGCCTGACCTACAGTTGTTTTGCTGCCACCAACAATGTCGACCGAACGCATGAGCATGTTGTTCCCCTTGATGCCGTTACGATGCTGTCTCATGGCACAACAGTCCCCCTGCAACATGCTCGTGCATGCAAACGGCGGTGCAAACAGTGTGCGTTTGTTGTGCGTACGAAACACAACAAATGGCATGACAGTTTACAGAGAACGAATCACGTCGGATTTGGTGCTTAAAACGCTCCCGTCCACTCTGCGCGATCGACACTGGACGTCACAAAAATCGACATATCGCCTCTGCGAATTACTGACCAGCAGCATTTCTACCTGCCACATCCACCTGAAGTGTTCTTAGCTGTGCCACATGTTCCAAACAATGGCGCATGCGTGCTGCCGTGTGCAACTGACAGACATTGCGAAGGCCGCTGACGGATGCTGAAGACATGCTGTTGTCAATTGTTTGCGTTTGTCCGACATTGGCACGGCCCTGCGCCATCCAGGCGATAACGGGCACGATGTGCTGCTGCATTGAGCAGGGAAGGCCAACGTGGAGGCGACTGAGGAGGAGAGTCACAAAGAAATCGAAGAGATAAGAGGCGAGTGGGGTGCTCATCCGAGTGCAGATGGCGGGTGAATTTTGTACTCCGCATGATCAGACGAATACCGCTTTTGCTTGTATTCTGACACTTGCCAGACAACCTGTGTGTTGCGCACAAAGAAGTGCCAGGAGGCACACGACAGCACAGTACAATTCCCCAGTTCGATATGAGTTTGCAACCAAAAAGAGCCCTGAAAGGGACACTGTGTATGGCGGTATAGTGCTGACCCCTGAAAAACTAGTGTACTTTGTATCCCCCTTTGCCGTCGGTACCCTTGGGGATGGGCACTAATGGCACGGTCCTTGGCTCACTGTGGTCGTTGACAGACGCCTAACATTTTCTTCATAAACGCACTGCTATGGTCGATGTCTTCCTGCGTAGTCTCCAAGGTTGCTGGTGAAACCTTGAGTTGAAATTTAGCTGAACCGTACGGAAAAATGTTTGCGGCGAATCTTGTGAGGTGGGACTACAGTGCGCGACCCCAACCGTATTTGGGGCTGTTTGGTGGCGGACGAGAACAGAACAGTTTGGGACCACTGTGGATATGCGCATGGCATCTGGCACAGGTGTGGATTAGTTGCAATCATACCACCCATGTCTGTTTAGTCCATACGCATTTGATATGGAGAGGCGTCAGCCATTCATTTACTCTATTTCAAATTGGGCTCAGGAGGAGCAATGGTGGTTGAACAGTATAGCAAACAAAACCTCATGCACCAATTTGTCATTTTGGTATTGGAAGATTCTTTGCAACACAATTGAGAACAGGGCACGTCCACTGGGTCTCTTCCTGAGCAACATATCTGCAATACCCTTTTCTGTTCTGGAACTTGGTGCGGAAGTCTCCATTTGCAGCAGGACAGCACACAGCACAGTGCAGCACGTGCCAACAGGCGCCATTGTATTGAGAGACGTTTGCTGCTCCAGGTCTGATCAAAGATCTTGAGGAGAGGGCGGATGAACTTCAGGTGTCTGCTGACGAAGACAAAGCTGCCCGTGAGGCCATGAAAGCACTGTTGCAACCGATACTGGCTCAGCACATGGCATCCGGATCTGCAACTGCCGGCCAGACATCCTCAGCTCCGGGCGACCCGCCCAAAGCGGCGAAGACGAATGTGGACCAGGGCGGGGTCCAGGACATTGGCATCGTTGGCCGCGGGAAATCGAGGATCACTCTTGAGCCCAGCCTCCCGGCAGCTCCGCAGAACGGTGGGGGTATTTGCTATTAATGGGATTGCCATGAAAACAGAAACATTAGTGGCAAAAACGTGACATAATCAATGCGATGAGTTGAATCGCAAGAAGACAATAGTGTAACACACATAGCGCGGTGCTGCCAACCAGGTGGCAAATCACCAACGGGTGCGCAGACTGCCAAGCTCAACCCCATTGTGATGGAGCTTTCTGTGGTCGTGCGAATGCGCTCATGGCACCGTCATACATTGAATGTCATCGTACCTGAGCTCTTAGTTGCCATGCCGCTCAGCATCTTGTTAGAAATCGTATCTGGCACCTCGAATACTGTGTTGGCACATACGACAGCGTACCTGTGTCTTGCAGGATTTGTGCCAAGAGCAAGCCCATTTAAGACCGTGCACTGCGCAACCAGTTGGAATGCAGCTAACAGGTGACCTATTTGCCTCAGGATTGGAACCGGCGAGTGGCAGCCTCCCAGCCTCGGCGACAAAGAGGCCCCTGGATGCTGCCCATGACGTGGGAGACATCGCTGACAACGGGGCCCCAAGCTCTATTCCCCCAGTGAAGAGGATGAAAAAGGAGTCCAGCGAAGCAGCCCCGCCGTAACCTCGTGCTATCGCTGCAGTGGAGCTCGTGCATGGAGGCTCGCCAGCCTGCCTGCACCTGCAGGCATGATAGGGCGTCAGAACCAGCAACAGATGTTGACCAACGCGCCGTTGGGTGTTCTTTTACAACATTTCCTTGGTTGTTCCACCCGAAATCCCTGGCTTCCACATGCGACCAGTGTGGTGTGTGTCCACCTGGATCGACCTCTGCAGCCCCTTGAGGCTGCCCTGCCCATGGCCCACAGCGCACAACGATTGCCACCCTGGTGGGAAGACGGTGACAATAAAGCTGCTGGGCGATGCCTGGTATCAGGTCACAGGGCAGCATGACATGCAGAGGCTGTTGGAGCCGCGGATGGGACCGGTCACAGTCGGCAGATGCCATTACCCTCCTCCAATCCCCCAAGAGGCAACAGGGGCATCGTCGTTTCAGCCAAAGCTGCCAGCTGACACATACACCGGCGTGAGATCGCCGCTTGAGCACCCAATCCGCCACATGTCCTGAAGCACACGCCTGTACGTTGGCGACACATATGACTCTGGCCATCTCATGAGTGTGTGACCAAGGCGCTTGCGAGCAAGGCACATGCACGAGCAAGTCAACACCATCTGCCCGCAGTCCAATCCAATCCCATTCCAGCCACCCAGGCCACACAGTACAGCGCCTGCCTGGTTCTCTGCCCATCCCCAAGCCACACACGCTCACCACCCTGCAATCCCGCCCACCCCTTCCCCCCTCAACGGCCCTCATCGGACTTGCGTTGGAGAACAAATGAGGCCCGAAGCATCTGCGCCAATCCGTGCCATGCCCCCCAGCGGGGACAATTGGCCCTTGCAGTCTGGCTGGAAGCGTGCGCCAGTGTAGGGGCACTCCACGAACTTGAAGCCCCGGTAGATGGGCGTGAAGGTAATGCAGCAGATGTCGAAGGGGTTGCGTGGGTCGTAGGTGATCTCCACAGCATCGGTGGGGTTCTTCTCGCAGGCGGCAAGGACTTGCCTTGCCTGGGTGGCCGTCTGAGCACAATGCCATGCCGGTGTGTGATTGTCTTTTCAACTTGAAGGACAGCACTGGGTGTGCAATGGGCACTCCGCCTGTATGAGAACAATTACTATAGCTGCCTTGTGAAATGCCACACCACAGTGAGCCGTGCGCAATTTTCTGATTCCATAATAGCTACATCCATCTTCGAAGAACAGAAAAGGCCAATCTCTGGGCCAAAGCAGAAGGGCACAACGAAGTGCTTTGCATGCATCATAACCCAGTAACTCGGGGCAGCTAGCATCAGAAGGTCATTTTGCCTCGTTCGCAATTCTTCCTGCGGAATTCAGCTGCCCAGAATGAGGAAAGCAACGCTTGATGTCTTGACTTGAGAGTCAGGGCATCGGCATGCAATGCGGTGCTCTCAACGCACGTTGGATGTGACCATTGGTGCTTTTAGGCGATTCAAGGGCAGAACAAACAACAGCAGTGCCTAGCCCAGACATGCGCTCTATTCTCCAGATGTGCCAACCATCACCAGGGGTCGCCTGAACGACAACTGTCATATTGTGACGGCTGACAGTGACGACGTTGGAGGTGTACACAAAATTCAGATTGTGCAAGTCACTTGAACAAAATGGGTGCAGCACTAAAACACCAAGCTGTGGCATCGGAGTAGACTTCCAGAATACCGATGACGTGCATGGAATCCGTAGTTCTGGATAGCATAATTGAGCATCCATTTAGGTGAAAGATACACTGTTCGCAACCTCAATCAATGATGCTGCTAACATGCATCAAGCTACCACCGTCTGCAGTGCGGTGCACATTAGCCAAATCGAAAGGTTGCTGCAATAGTTACTCAGCTACCAGCCCATCTGATTGCCTGGCAAAAGTTGAGAGGGCAGAGACCACATCATTCTGTGCGACACACTGATGCGCCCAATGCTAGAAGAACAGCATCGCCTAAAGGTGCACCTTTCAGATTGTAAAACAAATCAGTTCTCAGCTCACCCTTTGGGCGGGGTTCAGCTCGAGCAGCCGGCGGCAGAACACTGCACATGTGTTGAAATTCTTCAGTTTGTAGAACAGTGTCATGGCGGACTTGAGCGCCAGGGCCGTGTGCACGGGCTCCAACTTGCAGTGGGTGAAGTAGGCTGCCAGCTCCCCAGCCCTCACCGGGTTGTCCTCCTCCCTGCGCCTCTGCTCGCACAGCAAACCAATGATGTACTCCTTGGCAATGCCCACCAGCTCCTTTATGTCGTCCACCTCCTTGCGGCTCTCCACAACTACCAAGGGGATGGTCTGCAGGATTCCCATGAAGGCCTTCATGGCGTCGGAAAATTTGCCTGGGGGAATGTGTCCAAGTTTTACAAAGCATGCACTGTGGTGCAAACACTACTGGCCAACAGGGATGCTTTGGGCACTGGCAATGAGTCAAGGAGCAAGTTGAATGCCAGGTATGAAAATCAGCTAGATTGCAATTGCTGACACGTGACAAACACTGCTTCTGCATTCAAGGCTGCAACGGGCATGATTCTAACAAGATCATCAGTTGAAGAACATTGAAACCATGCACACTGCAGTGTACTAACATCGTCCAGTAGATTCAAGGGGAGTGACCTACCACACATGGCTATTGTGATCAATGCATATTTCTGCACATGCATGCACTCTTTTGTACACAGGGTGCAATAGCGGCATTGGCATTGGCCATACTCATGCAGAAACATGCTGCAAGGACGCAGGCCCATATTTGCCAGCTACCCCAGCTACGCATGGATAGTGTGGTCTGCAATGGAAGTTGCATTTTCCCATGAAAATCAGTTTAGTACTGATCTGTTCTGTTTGGGTTGATTTGGATGCTTGCCAGAGGGCTCACAACTCACTCTCAGCAGGCAAACGTGGTTGCCTCAATTATATTCTATTCACTGTGAGGACAGTGTCATGAAAGCACAGTCAAAGAATCCAATGACAAAAACAAAGGCACTCTGGCACCACAAAGTCCCAGCCCCACCTAATGTCACCAGCTTGTACGCCTTCTTGAGCTCCTCCTCCAACCCGGGCAACGTGTAGATCGTTGTCGGAGCAGTGGGTGGGCACGTGGCCTTATCTCCCGACCATGACTCATCCAGGGCGAACAGCATGGGCGGTAGGCTGGCCAACCCTGGGAGTGCTGCCCTTGTGGCCCTGTGCATGTCCAGCATCAGGGGCTTCAAGGGAGCAAAGGTTGTAAAGCCCAGCTGGCGGTTCAACAGGCGCATAGTGCTGCCAAAGTCGCCAGCTGCAGCATGTTGGGCGGGCAGGGAGCACTTCTGGAGCCACCTCTGGTAGGGGGGCATGCCGGGGTTGGGGGCCACAAACACTGCTGAGGGCCCCACGCTCTCTGTGAAGTCAGCTGGGGGAAGGTCCAGGTCCTGCAGGCCGGCAAGGGTCTCTTAGAGCAAGATGATGGCATTGCGCTTCAAGGACCTGCACATACTGCCCATCAAGTACTGATGACTGGCCATAGTTACACCATTTTCAAAGAGCTGCGGACACTGTGCACATTGTATGTTCTTGCCTTTGTGCAGTGCAGTGGACCAGATCTGCACGTTGACACTGTCTCAGGCTGCCCGTTTCTATTTCTGCACAACAAGTAACCATTGGCTCATCGCTGGGAGACGATCAGAGCGACTGTCAACTCCCGCTACTAACAATTCAGCACCACAAGGGTGACCAGAGCGATGTTTGACAGCAAGAAAACATTCCTAAGTCCAGTGTTGACAGCCTGTGTGCTGCATGGGCCAATGCAGTGGCTCCCCCCTGGACAGCGCCTCACAGATGATGAAGAGCAGAGACCCTGCTCAAGTGGTGGCAAAACCAGCAACACTGCAAGCTGCTTGGTGGTGCAAGGGAACAAGCGCTTTGTGGGATGAGACCATCGCTTGGCTATGCCCCTTTTCAAGATCAGTGACCTGTCAAATACTGACAACTCCAGCCATCAGGGAATTCTTGAAGACCTTTGCGATTTGCCATCTCCAACAAATTAACTATCAAAGTGCATCAAGGGAACATAACGTTTACCATGATGTCTGTCAGGCACCCACGTTAGCCAGGCTGCGAATAATACAATCAATGAACAGAAACTACAACAATGGACAGAAAATTCCAAGCACAATTTGTCGTCCTACCATCAATATTTAAGGCCAGAAGTCCACACAAACACAAATCAATAAGCACAATCCAGCATCAGAAACAACACCAACAGTTACCAGATCTGCACAAAGATCAAAACACATGGGAGTCCATGCCTCACCGCCAGGTCATCATCCCAACCGCCTTCTCCATCATCTTCCTCAGCGACTTCCTCCCCATTCTCTGCCGCTTCCTTGGCGACATCCAAGTCCAGTTCGTCCTCACCCCAGGCACCTGGGCACAACAAGCAGCTCCAGCGAAGCCAATGCAGGTCATTCACACTCAATTGGGCTGGCAGCATCAATGCCAAGTCAGTGTGGGACATGGGTTGGAGGAACAGGCTGCCATTGGCGTTTCCAACACACATAGACCAAGGCCATTCTGGTGAGTCCAAAATGTTTGCCCCAACAACAATACCGTATTTACCCAGTATTAGTAGGCACCCCTTATTAGTATCCACCACCCTCTTTGGGGGTCGAAACCACGGTAGTATCCATGACACGGTATTAGTATCCACCCCCCAGAACAGACAGAAACGAGCGAAGGGGCTGATGGTGGCAAGGGAAGTCGGCGACTGGTGTTGGAGCGCGTTGCCCGGACTGGACCAAACCAGGTTCCCTGCGATTCGCGCATCGACGGGGACGATTGGGCCAGGGTGGATGCTGTCGAGGAAGAATTTGGAAGGGGGCCCGCAAAACGCCGCATGGTCGACTGCCCGCCGGTGGCGCTCTCAGCGCAGGATCACAGGGCAGCGACCAATGCCGCGGGGCCCGATCAAAGAAGCGGTCAAGAAATTGAAGCCGCCTTATTTTCTGGATTAAGTCAACCTGCTCACCGGCCAGAGCAGGTTCCGGCCTGGCGGGTGACAAGGGGGCCCCAAGGCCCAGCACCAGGAATCAGCAGGTGACGGCGCTGGTCGAGGCGGCCGCCGTTGTGAGGCCCCGCATCGCAAAACTGTGCGCAAAACGCTGCGACAGCCAGACCCAACCCCAATTCGCACATCCCATTGGCTACCAGGCCACAAACCCAATCACAGATCCCATCAGCCATCCCAACTGCCATAAGCCTAGGAAAACGCCGCGTGTGAAGCCCATCGTCGCGATGTGGTGCCCCGGCGAGTCAAGACCCATGGCGGTCCTTGTTCTTTGCATTGCAAAGACAAACGCGCCTCTAGCATTCCAGCGAGCCCCTGTTGGCCCCAATCGCCAGTCGCCACCACCTGCTGCAGCCCCACGTCAAGGCCGCCAGCTCCTGTGAAGAGGCTGACAACATTCCGCACTAGCATTGCCATTCTTGCCCATTTCTGGGCATTTCACAGCCTATTTGTCAAAAATTTTCTCTGTCTACTCTTTGGGATCAGGGGTCCAAACCGCGTTAGTATACATGACCCACTATCAGTACCCACTGCTCATTTTGGGGGTCCAACACACGCATACTAATACCGGGTAAATACGGTAAGCTGCATATCACAAGGCTGACTTGATGTGATGGCACAGGATAGCAACAGATCCCTCCTTCCCAGCTCCTCACCACCAGCCTCGATCTCCTCCATCTCCTCTGATGCAATGGCCCCCATCTTGGATTTGGCCTTGGACTCAGCTGCAGACAGCGCCCCTTCAAACAGGCTCTTGTCCCTAACCAGCAGGGGCCAGTTGGCCTCCCTCAAGATGGGAGTGACGGGCTGGAGCAGGGTTGTGTCACTCAAATCCACTTCGGGCTCGCAGTCCATGTCTTGGCGTAACCTGTCAGCCTCTTCCTGCAGTTCATCTACCATTTGTTCTACAAGCCAAAATTCCCGGCATTCCCATGTGACAAGCCATGCGGCAAACATTGCTATTGCCAAGCTTCTCAGCATGGAATCTTGAATGATCAATGCTCCATAAGTTAGTTTTACTTGCAGCGATCACACTTCCAACTGTGCAGTCCAAATTCCAGTGCTCGCACATCAAAGGTCGCTGCACCTGCAATGCTCCTAAACTTGGGCAGCAACGTGAGCAGCTCAAAACAGACATGGCTGAATAAAGGCCTTGTGCAGTTCTCAACAAAGAATGCTTCAGCAATAACGTCGTGGCAACAATCCACGCCCCCTGAGAGCATGAACCACAGCAAGCTATGCCAATTTGTTGATAGCATGCAAGGGTTCACATGCACCTCCTCAACTGGTGTGTTCAAACTCTGACTGCACTGACTCCACAAAGCAGCATGACACTGCCCCGCTGCTCAAGGGGTTTGAACATGCCAATGCTCAGTGCTTTCATTGATTTCATACTGCATAATATGATACTGGTTCGCTGCTGCAAATGGCAGCCAAGCACATTTATTAAAGAAAGGCTGACTACAAGATGAGCAGATCAGAACGTAAGGCCAGCCAGAGTCCCTAAAATCGCCCCAGGGCCCCCAAAATTTGCACATCTAAAGTGCATTGTCAGTGACAACTCAACACCTCAAGTATCCTTCACCTGGTTTCTGGTTTGATTCCAGTTTTCAATATGGACACATCCTAGAGGCAGCATGCGGGGGCACAAGTCTGAAAATGCAAAGAGCGGAAAATGTCCCCAAGCTGCAAGGGTACCAATGCTATCATCTGTGACTCAGACAAATGCACTGTACCTGCAGCCCATGCGTCTTGGCTGTGACATAGGCCAATGGTCCCTGACCCGACTCCTCCAGGATTTTGATGCGTTCCCTCACGTCGCCTAGATACAGGGCGTTCTCAAACCGCCCAAATGTGTCATTGTACATCTCTGCGATCTTCATCATCTTGTTCAGCTTCTCCACATTTCCTGTGATGAGGTACAGGAACGCCAGTCTGTCAAAGCTCTTGGTGCGCTGGTAGGAGTATTCCACGATCTGGTGGTTGCCCTGACGCAGGGCCTCCACGCCCAGGCGGTACCAAGTCTCCTTGTCATCCAGCTCCTGTGCAGACTGGAGGGCCACCTGACACAATAGATGCAACGCCCCTCTCACTTCACCCCCTCCTTTGAGCACAGTGCGTTTCCAGATTATTGCCTTCCACGTACATTGTGCATCAACATGATCCACAGTAGTTTCTTTCGCCCGTCCATTCCAACTGGTCCCTTGCCAGCCCACCACTGCAATCTGCCACTAGATAGTGCAGTCCCGCCACTGTGGACATCAATCTTGATGCAAGGTGCGACTACATGGGTGACGAGCAGATAAAATGAGCGAATGAGGGACAACAAGTTCCCGGATGTACATACACCCACAGTCTTGCCTACAAAGTGTAAGGGGACCACTTTGTCCTTTGTAGGCAACTTACACAAAGGAATTCGGCAACCCGCCACTTGACATTGCCACTATATTTTTTGTCCCTGATGCATCACAATACGCATCTTCTGCAAATTTGACATGGTTGCCATTTTCGTCGATTCGGCTTGTCCCTGTGTATTGTGTACTCTTTGGGTCATTATAATGACCTAGCATTAGGCCCAATGGAAGACACCTTGGGCTCTCCAACATGTAATGCATCAGGTAGATGAGTAGCTAAACCCTAGCAGTAAGGGCAGCATAGCCTCCCTTCTTGCTCTAACAATAAAGGTCACTTGCAAGCTGATGAAGAGTGCCAGAATACAATGATGATAAAGAATCCTGTCAGAGACAACTGAGAAGGCTCCGCAATCGGTGCAGTGTTTGGCAAGCAGCATTTAAGCGAATCAACCAGCACCACAGCTCTTAACAACAACTTTACTTGAAACGATGTCCTGTGTTCAGCTATGTTCAGTGCGTGCTACATAGGCAGCTGGAGCATGAGCTCTTGGCCCCTGTGTCGACCCATTCCAAAGCGATCATGTCACTATTGAAGCAGCTGCAGCACCCCGCAGCCCATGAAAGCGCACTGCGCATTACACAACCCATCCGCATCAAGCTTTGAAGAGGCTAGCAAAATGGACACAGAATCACTGGCAATGCTGAACATCCCCTGGCTATCCATCGTGGCTCATAAAATTCGTAGCCCACACAGCTTCCATACCATCACCGCACCAAGGGGAATGCAACTGCGTACTGTACGATTCAAACTAGCAGAGTTGATCGATACTGTGTTCATTCTTGTCAGACACGTCACAATGGAAATGTGTAGCAGCTAACAGTGGTCACAGCAACGGTGCTAAATGTGCTGATTGCATTGATGCGCAGAGGTTGTTCCTTTCATTCACTTCTTTGATTGCAATATTTATGTTTCTGAGCATCTTTTCAGAAACTACTCAGTCACCTCAATATTTCCACATTCCACAGCAAGGTTGAACCGCAGCCGCTCGTCTTTTACAAAATGCAGTGCGACATCTGGGAAACCCTTTTCCTGCAGGTATGAAATGATGGCCTGGCCGCAAAGGTCTGAGTGCTGGATCATGTACATCACTTGGTCAAACTGCTGACGCGACAGAGCAAGCTTGAACATGAACTCTGTGCTGTCGATCTTGGCACACGCACAAGAGAAGGTGTCAGAGTGAGCAAGCAACAGAGTGTACCAAGTTGATGAAGTGGCCAGAGGTCACAAATGGCATTCAGTTTTCACACATCAACTTGGCTCTGGCCTGGTGTCAAAGCACCCAAGTAACAACTGCACAATCTCTGGAAACCAATTCTGCAATTTGTTCAAAGCAACTGTGGTCAGATGCAAGCACAGCAGCTGGCATTGTACCAATAAGGAGGAAACAGGTGAGCAGGCAATAGACACACTTGCCCTCAAAGGATTTTGCTTCCAACCAGCATCAAGTCAGTTGGGCACCTACTCCCTTCACCACAAAGCCCCCTTCACATAAATGTCCTTTGACAAATGGGCAGCAAATGTGACACTGACAGTTGGGACTGCATAACTGCACATCTTTTCAATTTATACGTCAGGGTGCTTAGTGACATCCCACAAATCTGGAAAACAAATGTATCTTCACAATTCTAACCTTGAGTCATTGCACAACAAAGTGCGCTTTCTTGTGCATCAATGCTTTCACAAACAAAACTGATATTCTGTCGCTTTCCAAGCAAAATTGCTTGTGCACACTAAACAGTGCAGTTTGCAGACTGTTCGATGTTGCGGTGCAATGAAGTTCACCTCGATCTTCCTGTTCTTCCCTTCCCGGTCCAGGCAGTACACAGCATTGCCCACAACCTTCGTGAGGTACACTGGGGCGTCCAGCGTGCGAATGATGCCATTGTCACCATTTGGCAGGCAGTACTTTATGTGGTTCAGGCTGGTGTAGATCAGGACGCCACTGGGGTCAAATGCTGCGCTCTTCACACGCATGTGCTCATGTACTGTGCATGAGTTGTTCAGCATCTTGTCAGTAATGGTCACCGAGTGCTTGTTGATGAGGGCCACCCGTGACATATCCTGGTTCCAGACTACATACTTGGCGGCAGCAGCCGTCTCGGCCAGCACTTGCCGATTCTGGATCTCAAATAGGACCACCTGTGAGGACAGGTGGCACACAGGGAATCAAGTAAATCCACATTGATGATGTTCCTGTGCATGCATTTGGTGCAACAGAATGAACCCTGCAGCTTTTGGTGGCAATGGGGGCATGACACCACCTCTGTCCATTTGCAGTCCACTTTGGTTTGATAACTCAAAATCCGATAAGCCAGCAAGCCTGCAGGTGACAACGCACAAGGGGGAGGAAACTGTAGAACAAGTAGCAGAATGCTGGATAGAACAACTGATGTGGTCGCATTTTCGCAATGGCAGACGGGTGCTGCCACAATAATTGTGGAGCTCAAAATCTGGATGTGTGTGTTGCAATTTGTCTCAATGCTGCCCTGCATCGCCAGTGCATTGCAAGGCACTGTTTTGTCCATTGTGAACAAAGTCTAGTAGAAACAATCCAACCAACTATTTCGAGTCCACATCCATTGATCACAAGGTATGACCCCCAAGCAGCAACAGCAACAAACTGACACTACAGCTGACTGGGGGATTCTGTACGAATCCCAGCATTGGTAAACATGGGCATGTTGCACCCTTGGGTGGCTGACCACAGAGGGACACCAGAGTCAGGGCAATGCCAATGCGAAGCAGGTGTGGTGCACCATCGACCCTCCCACGGATACAGTTCACAGGATCAGCCTGGTGCAAACATTGTGGACCCAAGCAATGCTCTACAATCGCCTCATATGTTGCTGGGCATGTGCTGTTCAAGTTGGCAGATGCACCGAATTACACACCCAAGCAATGCTCTACAATCGCCTCATATGTTGCTGGGCATGTGCTGTTCAAGTTGGCAGATGCACCGAATTACACATTGCCAAAGACAGACATCAAATAAACGCCCCAAGGGGCTGCTGTACGAATTTAGCAGTGCTGCCTGGAGGCCCTGCATTCAGCAGAAGCATCTTCTGAGAGGTGTGCACAGTTAAGACGAAACTGAAAGGTGCTACTAGATACCCAATGACTGACACTTCAAACTGTTTCCTTTACCATCCATGGACATGCTCCCACCTCACTTAAATTAACATTGTCAACTCTTTGGTGGAATGTGTGAGCTATTCAAAGCAAGTATCTCTGTAGTTAGCAGTTCAGCTGCACAAACTAAGAAAACAACTGAGAGACAACAATTTTCATCAAAGAAATACAGTCTATGTTGGATGCCCCCTCACCTTGTCTTCTGACTGACACAAGAGTCTGCCAGTCCCCGCATAGAAGATATTCATCGTGACCGGGCAAGGCGATTGCACCTTCTTGGTTATCTCATTCTGCAAGTTCCTTATCTGTATTTGGTTGTACAGCTTCTCCAGCACTGCAAAACGGTTGCGTGCAATGAACACTGCGCACGCCCCAAGGCCTGACTTTGCATCCTTTCAAACAGCCACATACACAGAGTTTAGTTTCATGTGCTCAAATAATCTCAACAAGGTAACAATCTGAATAATATGATGTTGGGTTTTGGAGGAATTAGACTAGTACAGGCTGCAAGACGTCACTGCTGTGGGCTACAAGTCGTAGGCAATCAGGAATTCTTTGCAATGTCATCTTGTGCAAGGCGAGGGACCAAAGGGACCATATTTCCACTCCACTTGCATGAAAGTCTCTGTTGCAGCGCCATTCATGCAACTCAGTGCATGTCATCAGCACTTCAAGCTTGCTCCAGCACAATTCATTGCATGCATGCCCAGCCTAGCAAGGGGGCTGCCAGTTGCTATGATCGTGCCTGGCTGCATTGGGGGAAGGCTGAGACACAAGATCAACATGTAATGGAGATGTGCACAGGCTCGTGTGCCTGCCCTTAGGAAGACACATCTGTCACATTTCTTTCTCACTTTTCAAAACATGATGAGTCACTTTCTGTTCGCAAGTTTTATACAGTGTTGGGGTGCCTCACCGGAGCTGAGTCACCTCGGGAGGGGTCCTTCGGGAGGGTGTACAGCTCGAAAGAACCCCCCTCCACATCACTGGTCAAGAGCACGGCATTGTCCGCCGGGCTATATGACAGTGACCTTGGCCCAGAGTTGAGACCAGCAGCTGGAGGCTTGCGAATGGATATCACAGGGTTGTCGCGCTGGGTCTTGAAGTCGTAGCGCCGCAGGTAGCGGTCCTTTACATAGTACAGTGTGTCACCATGGGCCGCGTAAGGGGGTCTTTCCCTCTCCAGCTTGAAGACAGTCATCCCGCTGCAAAATGGGAACTTAGACTCAGATGTTTACCCAGGCATGCCATATCTCTCAGCAGAACAGGCACAGGTGTACAACTCTGCACAGTGGCATGCTTGCCAACTCCAATAGAGTCAATGTGGCAATTAGATGCGGCCCAGTCCCAATTGCCAATACACAGATGGCACACAATCACAAATCCCAACAACACCGCTTTTTTCTCTTATCTTGCTTGACTAAAAATTTGATTGGTTTGTTGATCAACAGATCATCGCAATGTAGCCTCAGTAGATGTGGTGGGGCATGAAATGATCATCCAGCAATCCATGGTGCACAACTACAGATGCTAGTTATGGACCTGTCTAGAACTGGAGGCTTCACAGCCAGTATTCTGACATGTTTGGATACGACTGACTGCCTTGACTGATACAACCAAAGGAGTTGCACATCAGAGTCCAGCAGGCTGGTGAGCGAAAGTGTGGACCATTCTGGATGCTCGTGCATACCTGTCATGCCCAGCTGCTAGGACATTCTGCTCTGGGTGTGCCACAAGTATCCAGAACCTGTCTTGCTCGCGCCTGATCGTTTGAACACCCTGCCGCTTTGACAGATCCCAAACTCTGATGCTCTTGTCCTCAGAATTGGAAATGATCAAGTCCTACACAGGGGAGGATGCAGGGCAACAAATGAGCCATACAATTCCCCACAAAGCCCTGTGTCTCTTGGACTGTTGGGGTTCTGGGGCTGGGAAGGCCCCCTCCTTGAAACGATTGAACAGCATATGATGTGCTTAATTTGACACTGTGCCACTCCACAGTGAGAAGCATCAGTTGTGCTGAATGCAGTTGAGTTTATGCCTCTACATGCAAGACTTGTTTCTCCCTGGAACACAATGAAAGCAATGGTGACAGAAGTGGGTGATCTTGTGACTGCATTTCACCTGCTTGGCATGGAAGATCACACATGACACATTGTTGACATGGCCCCTCAGAGTGTCGACCTCCCACGCCTTGCTTTCTGTTCTCAACATGACAAACAGCATTGGGACTTGTGTCATTGACCCATTGACCAAGTGCATTGATCAAAGGCCATCTGTCAAACTGCAGTACAACATGTTAAACACAGACATAATGTTTTGGGTGGAGCCACTTCACGTCCCAGAACAAGCAGTAACTGAAATTGTGTGAAATTGTGTTCACTCCATGTGTCCTGGCAACTGTAAATGGCTGTTGCGCTGCAGAAATGACAGCCTGGAGTATGATGTAAGGAGCCAAGGTGGAGGCAACAGTGTTTTGGGATGCCTCACAATAGTTGGTCTACTCAAGCACACATGACATCACTGCCAGCATTTTCCCAGGCAGGCAATATACAGAGACTCTCTTGCCTAAACATATTGGCGTACAACAGAAATAAACCAGCAACAGAGCACTTGATGCTGCCTGCCCATATCAAATGCCGCATTCTGCGCAGGTGCAAATCTCAAACTCTTTCTCACCGTTGTATCGCCAGAGCTTTACTTGCCGGTCATCGGCACCAGAGACGATGAGCGGCATCGTGGGGTGGAAGGACGCCCAGTTCACACCCCTGTCATGGCCTTCCAGCACATACTTCACAACAGCATCTCCTCCACCAAACAAATCGGCGCCCATCTGCTGCGCACAGGTGCGCCAACCCAAAGTTGCGAATCAGCACAGGGCAATGTGTTTATTCTTGTTGGTGTTGTTGTGATCACAGTTCCACAGCATTGAACACTCAAGCCCCACAAAAGCTACATGTCAACCTGTCCGTTTGAGCACCAGAAAGATGATGACAGAATCACAAAGTCCATCAAGGGAAGATTGAGTTGTTGTTGGTGGTGCCACACAGACCACGGGAAAACCAAGGGCCACAGCCATAGTCACACCCACTCCTTTGCACATCTGGGCAGAATGTCGAAAACAAAAATCCACTGAAAAGAGCCGCAGGTCGCCCTCTACTCATCACAACGAAGAACCACCACCGCCATCACCTCTGACAGCAAATCTTTGTTTCGTCCAGCGTTTTCTTGTCTGCTTCTGCAGGATCAGACCCGCGCCGTCCCCGACGCTCCCAACAACCTTCCCCCTCCCCCCCCGCAAAACCCGCCCAGGATCCACACCCCAGCGCCGTGCGTTCCCTCCCCGCCATCGACCGCCCCGTCCCCCCACCTGCGGCAGCCTGAGCATGTCCGGGTCCGTGCCTCCCCCCCCGGGGGCCATGGACTTCTTCCTCAGACCGCTGATGTCCCACACGCGCACGGTCTGGTCCAGGCTGGCCGACACCACCAGGTCCTCCTTCATGTGGAAGGACGCGCACATGACATAGTGGTTGTGGCCCGTCAGCACCGCCACACAGTTGCGCGCCATCCAGTTCCAAATCCGTATCGTCTGGTCGTCCGACGCGCTGACGATCCACGGGTGCTCGTCGTGGAACTCCACCGTGCGAATGTAGTCCAGGTGGCCGTGCAGCGTGAACAAGCACCGCCGCAGCTTGTAGTTCCACACCTTAATCTTGTAGTCGTCCCCGCCGGACACGAACAGCGGCTGGGACCGGTGGAAGTGGACGCCGCGCACGGGGCCGTCATGCTCGTCGAACTTGTCGATCGTCGTGCCCACGCGGTAATCCCAAAGCTGCGCAGGGGACACGGACCGCGTCAAAGGTCATATCCTGGGCGGGCCTCCGCCCGGTGGTGCGATGGCATGGCAGCTGTGCGGCGGGCGGGCACTCACCTGGATCACGCCGCTGTGCAGGGACGCCAGTATCCATGGCCTGTTCAACGGGCGGGGAAGAGGGCAGGCACGCGGGTCAGGCGATCAATCCCCAGATCTCGATCGCGGCATGGGGCGGCGGGCGCTCAGGGGCGCACCTCCTGGGGTGGAAGGCCAGCCCCTTGACGCGATTGCTCTTGGTCTCGAACTTGGTGAGCATCGGGGGTGGTGTGGGGGGCGCCGACGCCCAACCGCCTGCGGGACGGCGCCTCTCCCGTGGCCCTGCGGCGCAATCGCGTCGGCACTGATGCTTGCCGGCTGCCTGCGGTGGCTGGCGGGGCAGGCAGGGCGGAGGGGGGCCGCAGGAGGGCAGGGGCGCCGGGCGCTGCTGTATGGGGACACGGCGGGTGTGGCGCTTAAGGGAGCGAGTGTTGCGATGTACGGAAACCTGGGTCGCTGTCTCGTCTTGATGGGCGAGCAGTCCAGAAGTTAGGCCTTCGGTGCGGGGTTGTGCACTTTTTTCGTTCCTGCGCTGTCTATTCAAAGCCACCGACTCGGTGCCCAGGATGTTGCGCTTTCGATGTATTCCTTTCCCTGTCGATTTGCTCATCACGTTCTTCGCTACGTCCTTTGCCACTGGCGCTGCGCCAAGGGCCGCACAGCACCGCCGCGTGAGTTTGCTCCCACTATGCTACACGGGGAGTCCTTGTCGGGGGCTACAACTTCGACTATTGAGTTTGGGATGCCAGCCAACGCCGTTGCAAGCCATCGCCCCTGGCCGTTCCAATGATGCGGCATCACATCAGAAGACGCTGTTCGATTACGGTCCAATCTGCTCAAGAAAATGGCCGCCACTGTAATCGAGAGAAAACCGTAGAGAAAGGAAAGGTCAATGTGCTCAGCAGAAGTTACTTTAAACCACATGACATACGGTTACATTTGGCGGTCCTGCAGCTGCTGAATGCTCAAGGCAAATGTGCGCACGCTCAGCTTCTCTCCAGTGCACATGAATCGATGCATTTACAGTTGAGACATCCTCCATCTCGCTGTTTTGCATTGTCACTCATCAGAACCGTCCAGAATGAGCACCAATGACGTCAATTGAAGAGCACTCTATGGGCAGCTGCGGCTGCGCTGTCATTTTGCCAAGGAAAAGGGCAGGAACTAATCTGGTTAGACACTTAGATTGACGGGAGGCAATACATTTTTGAGTCACACATTTCCAATATATGGAATTGAGGCTATGGGTACATTAGAGGGAAAGGAAGGGACCGTAGTGTGTACAGGCCCAATGGAAATCACCCTTGGAAAAAGGCTGGCCTGTTCACAGAGAGCCTTTGGGTGACTTTCGCAGAGAAAGAAGGCCAAATTCTGGCCCCTTTTGAGGAGACCATGGACCGTAGGGGTTGTCCTTCAATGGACCTGAACTGTTTCAAAAGGTCCTAGGACGTTGACAGGACAGGTACTAGCAGGGTATAGGGGTCCATTGAGGCGTGATGCAACGTTGTGTGCGGCTGCTGACAGTACATTATGGTTTAGCGACTGTACAGGCGATTGCCTTTTTGGCAATTCGTGTACTGTACTGTGTCGTACACGTTCGGCACATCCCCGCATCCTGCGCCCCCAAGGCCTCCATGCCCCGTGATCTACCGCTGGTCCCTAGGAATGCGTAGGGGCCATAGGGCCAGTTGGAGGCCAATGAAAGTACAGACCGGAATGACACTATGAAATTCTGTAGGATTAGGGCAATACAAGCTGCGGTACGTTAGTGGGAAGGACCATGAGGGTCGGTGGGAAGTTCTGAGAAGTACAAGGGGTACTGGGGCCTTTTTCTCGAAGTGCCTGTTGGATTGTCCGAGGGTCGTTGAGGTGTAGTGCTATTGGAGCCGGCAGGGTTATTTAGGAGGGGCTGTTTGGGGTGTGAGTGCCCCCCTCTCCCCTCTCTCTCCGCCCCCCACCCGTCCGTTCTTGGTTCTAGTGGTCTGAACGGCAGGTGTTCATTTGAGAACGGACGTGCTGTGAACGTGTGGGGTTCGAACGCTATCAAGGGAAGCACTGTTGTAACGAACACGTTCATTTCTGTGCGCTTTTGCCTCTTGACCGTCCGGGTCAATCGCCTTTTGGGTTGTGCACCGTTGTACATACCCACAGCTCGTCGTCGAGCTTGTCCCCCGTTTCATTGACCGACTGACCTGCGTGCGCTCACGTTGGGCGCTGACTTCCTCGACTAAACGACGTGTCTTCATCGTCCGCTGCTCGGCGAGTGATTGGAGTGCAGCGCTGGACCGTAAGGAACGAGCATCGAAGACATTGGTTTGCAACATCTGGAGATTGGTCAGTACGCTCGCCATAGTGAGCTACTGAGTGAGGTGTGGAGCGTCGTTTCGCAGTTTGAGCGTGTTTTTTCGTGCCTCTCGTCGAGCTGATTAGCCCTTGCATGTTTCTCGTTATATGTGAACGGACAAGGTGAATTGAATACGAAATTCAGCTCTGGGGTTGCGCCTCGCTTCGGCAGCGCTCGACAACACCCCAAGTGTCCTGTTGGGCTTGAATTTACTTGCTGTGGTGATTCTTGTTGTCCTGTGAGTGTCTATGAGCTAAGTTGGTAAAAGTGCTGGAGCGGATGCTCAGAAATTCTGGGCGATTGACTATACTCGCCCCCCCAGCCAAACGCGGCGTCAAACTACCCGTGCCACAAGTCCGTTGGGAGGCCTGGCCAACGTGGGCGAGGAAGTAAGGACTCGCGACGACCAAATCTGGCCACAATGATGGCCAGTGAAGGATTGAGGGTGTTGGCCGATCAAATTGATTGGGA